GAGATTTCAAAGGGAGAGGTTAATTCGATCGACGAAATTGAAAAGTAGTGCTCCAACAATTTTGAAATTCTAAATTCCACGATTCAAACTTTAATTATTGATTAATCATTAGCGGAAATGTTAACCGTTACTTTGATATCCAAGCTCGTCACGAGCTCGGCTGTCGAGAGTTAATAAGGCGTAGGATGTATTTTATCGAGGCTATTAAACCATTTCGAATAATTGTGACCATATTTGGCTCTCCGCAGACAATTCGAGCTTATCTCTTTGCATTCCAGTATTACAATTAAATTTCGCCGTATTTGATAAACGGTCGTGTTATCCAACTCCCTTTGGATAATTCTTTTTCTCTTGAATAAGCTCAGGCAGGATTTTTCTCGACTCGAATTTTCATTTTTCGCCAAAGTAACCGCGATAGAGATTCCCTCTTCTTCGTCCTCCTTTTCTCTTGGTCGTTTCCCCGTTCCTTTGTATTTCATCGATTTCAATCTCTCTTCGGCTAGGAGGTCGCCAATTTGAATATATTAAGCGATTCATCTGAATTTAATAGGGGAGGCATTAAGGCAATAAAAGGCATGCGAGGTTAGAGCTTCCCTGTGTACTTGCTGTACACGTCTCGTTTCTTATACGTCGTGTCGACCCTTAACCTGTGCCTCGTCGACACGGTTTTCGTATATATCCTTGAACGAGGTTTTGTGTACGGGAGGAGGAGAAGGAGGAGGAAGAGGAGGGATGTTAATATATTCATGAGACATCTTTGGTAAAGCTGATTCCAAAATAAACTCAAAAGTCGGCTCGTTTATTACGTTACTAGTAATTTAAGTTAACTCTATCTTCGTCGTCTCATTTCTGTCTCGCTTTATCTGACCGCAAAATTGACGCATCCTTTTACGAGGATGAAATTGGCCACTGTGTCACACCGATGAACGGGTGTCGTCGCAAGTATACATTGAGAGGGAAACTTTTTGGAAAAAAAATCCTCTCGTGTATCGTTTTTTTTGCTTTTAGCAAAAAGAAACATTCAAAATTCATGCTTACAATTCGAGAGATTCGGGAGGAAGAAAATTAGCTCGATTAATAAATCTTTACTTCTCTCTTTATTTTTGGAAGATGATTCTCATTAGTGGCAAATTCCCTCCAACGATATCAAATAATCCTTAATGTCCCAAGTTGTGCAACTTTATTTTAAAAATCTATCTTTTAAAATATGTTCCACGAATGTATATTAACTTATCTTATATATATATATATCCACGCTAAACTCTCTAATGCCGTGTTTTAATTTAGGAATTATTTTATTTTATAACTTTGGAATATCGATTCGCTTTGACCCGATGGTGGCCGTTTCCACCACGATAGAATTCCATCCGGTATTTTTGAACGTACAAGCACAATTCGATTGCGCAAACACAGTGCAATCATCGTAGTGCTCGCAATACAAAGTTGGCGCCGTGGTAGGTTCGACTCTCCAGGGAATGGATGACGATCGTTAGTTATGGTCACGCACACCTCCACAGAATATGAGGTGGTCGACTATTCGATTGACACACCGCTCGTTCTATGTGGATTAAACGCGGTTGATAAGGTATATCTGTAATTTAGGCCCGTGTGTCGTGTTACCTGTGTCGAACCGAACGTCTTTATTATCGCTTTTGTATGCAGCCAGAGATTATTTATTACGTATAAGTGTTCGCAAGTGACCCTCCGTCGATTTAATCGTGGCCAAGATTAATTTGTTATTTCGCTATCGCTAATTTTGCGGCTCGAATATTTTTTTATTATTCGTATACGTATAGGTTTTAGAACGGTATAGATGGATATAAATGTTATGTATATATATATGTATATATGGATGAATTTGCATTATTTACGGTCATATAAAATCGACGGAGGCGGTTAATTAATTAATTAATTGATATAGTTGTGTGTAAATTAATGAAATTCACGAGTTATTTAGATAGTTGCGTAAGTAACGTAACATATTGTTTATCGAATGTATAATGGGGTAAAATGGGGTAGTAAATTGGTTCGCTAATTATGTTAGTTGTTTCAAGCAAAATCGAGCGAATTATTAAAGTAAATGAGGTAAATAACGAATTAACTCTTCTAACGCTATGGGAGTTATTTAAAAAAAAAAAAAATTCAAATTTCATTCATTTCAAATATTATATAAAACATAAAATTAAAAATCATAACATATGCCACAATTGATCGTGAATATGAAAAGAGAGAAAGATAGAGAGAGAGAGAGAAATTGGTTGGACAGAATTGAAATTTTAAAAGTGACATTCGCTAATTCAGCGGCTCTGTTGGCTCGCCCCCAAGTTGAAGGGTGTACGTGCCATCTTTAATATCCCATCGAACACTTGTCACGCTTGTGACACGAGTTCAAAAGGGTAGGGCACGCCGGGGTCTGGGAGTCGTGTAAGGGGTCGATGAGAGCGAATTGCTCTCGTAATAAGTCATCGAGAGCAGCCGTTGGGAGACAACGTCCTCGTCTTTTGCTCGGTATCCCTTTAGAGAGAGTGAGAGAGTGGGAGAGATACTAAGGTGGGGTGATAGATCAAGCCACTTTACTTCCGGTCCCGGGATCCCTAGGCTCACGTAGTCGGCGCTCTTCCCTCTTTACTTGGCAGCATTGGTCTGCCATGCGTGGCTTGTCGGATTATATCAGTCCACGAGAATAGCATATGCTTCCGGTTACGTGCGAATGCACTTCGATCGTAATTCTTTGTTCTCGTGTCCGCGGGAAAATTAGCCACGGTGATGTATCGATGCGGACAGTGATCGATCGAGACACCGTTTTCGTTCCATTCTGAGGGATAGGATTTGAGATTGTGTATTGGGGAAAAAAAAAAAAAAAAAAAATGGAGGAAAATTTAGGAAATCAAGTATCAACGAATTTTGTTGTTTGTTTTACACAAATCGATTGATTCAATTATTCCGAATGAAAGTATTATATAAAGTATTATAAATGTATCGATGATAATTTGTAAAAATCTTTTCGTTTTTTCAATATGCACTTTTCGGTCTCGAAAAATTTATAGGTCTCTATTTCATTCTAAATTGTAGCACTGCCCGGTTTTAGCGGTTGGAATCCGTTGAACTGTGAATGTTTGCGCGTTTGTCTTCCATTGTAACAGCCCCCGATAGATTGTCGTTTTCGAATATTATTACACGCGTTTATTGGCCGCCGTCGAATCTAATATATCTTCCTCTCTTCGGCCATTATATATCCATTAAAAAAAAAAAAAAAAAAAAAAAATCACCAGCGTACTAACAAATTCTGCCAACAATAAACCCTCTTATTCGAAGTAACAAATACGAATATAACGTAATCATCGAAGCTACGCCTGTTTTTAATCCGTCAAAAGTGTTTCGAGGATGTTTAACACTCTGAAATTACGTTGTTTTCGTTTTTTTTTTTTTTTTTTTTTTAGCCTCGATCCTGTTCTCCGGTATCCTGTCGCGAAACATCGTGCACATGCGTTGCATCATCAAAGGTACACTATAGAATATCCCATTGTGCAGAGTTGTCCACGCGTGGTAATTCTGTTGTTACGGAAAACGTTGAAACGTTGCCAATGCTTTTGCACCTCCCCGCTTTTCAAAGCTGCGCCGTTCTTCCCTCCGCTAAGCTGCTCCAGGTTGGACAGTTTCCAGCTGATTTCTCGTTGTCTGCCGCGCGAATTTTCAACCTGGATTTTACCTTTCGCGTTGTTCCGGAGAAGTGGTGTTCTTGAAACAACGGCCACGTGCCAACGGCCCACTTTCTCGCCGTTCGATTAACGACCCTCTGTACACAACTCTCTCTCTCTCTCTCTCTCTCTCTTTCGAGTTGGAACGCGAGTCGCGTGTCGGAACGTTTAATCCCGCGAATAATATCAATTATGCGGCTCCATCGATTATTCAAAGCTTTGTTTTAAAATCGCAAACCGCCCTTCCGTTTCCCAACGGAAAGCGCGCAAATGAAATTCTCACGAGCGGATCGAATCGATCGATTAATCGAATAGATTGCCAGATAGATTTTATTTATTCGTGCGCTCTCCTTTCTTTCTTATCGAGAACGATGAAAGTTTAATCTCTTTTTCGAATTGGTCCTTGGAAAAGAAACAATTGATCGGTTATGATAACTAAACTTCTCCCGAGCTTTGTCTCTCTATATATATATATATGTACATTTTTATCCATTTTTATCTGTTCCGCGATAAAAGGCAGATTCGTACGAAATGAATTTCTAACGAGAAACAGATTGAATTCGTGTTCCCTTTGTCACTGGCTTTTTTAATAATCCTGTGGCGTGTGTCCCCTTTAACAAGTTAATTCTTTTAACGAGTTATTGTGTGTTCTTTTTTCCCTATCTCATAGAAGAACACGCGATCGTATCTTGCTCACCGGACGCAGTAGTATTTCACCTCATCGTCTGATGCTAAACGCATAAATCATCACCTGTCCTGGAAAATGGTCGGCCGCTATCTTTAGCAGCTATCTACGTCGAAGACAACTCGACGTTTCGACTCAATCTCGAAACTTTCAACGATCGTCGTTTATCGCCAATTATCTCGTAACGAGGCTGAGAGTCGTGCCATTAATATTGAGATGATCACACGTTACGAGCTCTTTTTTTCCCCTCTCCCCGAATAATGGATAATTCCGAACGTCGATTCGTGTTATGCAAAATATTTGTGCTCTCGTAAATGCGCGCAACTATAAATTTAATACTCTTGACTCTTTACGATTTAATCGAGATTATTTTCAATACGCGTTCATTTTTTCCCTTCACATGGCGAATACGGTTCACTTTTTAAGATTATTGCAATACACGAGTAAGACGCATTATCCCCTTCCTTTATTAATCGCATTTTCTTCGACAGTATCACGTTGCGCCTGTTTCTTTCCACACGCGCAATGGGACACAGAGAGGAAGAAAAATATCGAGATGTGTAATGGTATAAAGGAGAACGTTTGAGAACGGCACGTCCGCCCGATTGTTGTTTCAGTTACGAAGCTGAGGGAGCACTGGGACGAGATGAACTCGAAAATGATGCAGAGGAAGACGGAGTTGGACGCGATGCTCGGGGACAGCCAGCGATACGAGGCGAAAAGGAACGAGGTGGAGGTTTGGTTGGCGCGAATGGAGACTCGGCTTGAGAAAATGCGGGCCGTCGGCCACACCGCCGACGTTCTCGAGGCCCAGCTCCGGGAACAAAAGGTACGTATATAATAAATATACGTATATCTCTCTTTCCTTCTCGAATTTTTCTCCCTCCTTTCTTCAGAAACCCGGCCTGTTTTCCATATTAACCCGTCGAGTCGCGGGAAACCGACCGCTCCCCTCGGGGGATCGCCCTCTTTGTCTCTTCTTCGTCCCTCGATGGCCCGTGCAACGGGCAGAACAGAAGGCGACCACCGTTTGATCGCGCCAATTCGCGTTGATTAGATGGATGGTTGGACGAATCAGGGAATTCCGGGTATTGGCAACCGGGTAAATGAGTTTAAAGGCGTTGTAGGCGGGCACGATTGATAATTATGACGATCGATTTTGATGGTGGATCCTGTATACGTGGAAAGATATATTTTCTTCAGACGACGTTTCAAATAATTTGTCCGAAAAATGAGACAAGATGTCTCTGATTATTAAGCGGATCGATAAATTTTCAGATAAACGAAAGAGGCTCGATTGTTATACTTTTATATATACACGTCCAGTTCTTCCATTCCGATAACAAGGAAAGAGGATAATAAAAATTTCTCAACGATATTAAATTTGCAACAACTTGCGATAATCTCGTGATCTATAATTGTATGCCGTCAGAAAATTACGCAAACGACGGAATAAAGCTTCTTCTTTCGCCGGTGCAATCTAACCTGGGAGCATCGTTCGAGAAAAGAGAGAAAAAGAAAAAAAAGAAGAAGAAAAAGAGAAATAGATATATACAAAAAGAAACGGGTATAATGGGCAGCTAGAAGGTTCGTTACAGGCCGCGACCGCGATTAAAGGGAACGAACGAATCGGTATTCATCCCGGTAGCAGTAGCTAGTAACCTCTTTTTAGCCCAACGTTCCGCTTTGTGTACCGGAATAACGCGACTGGTCGGGGGGAAAAATGGGCGAGCAGGGCGGCACGGGGAAGGGGAGTAAAAGGAACGGCCAAAGTTCCAATCAACGCGAGATCGTGTAGCGCGTCACGCGGCAATACGCAATTCTGTTTACACTGAAAAGAGTCGAATGAGATATTCATGGAATAATTTATTTCGCCGAGGAAACGTATCTTTGGGATATCTTCGCCCGGGCTTCACCTCGTTCCTCTACCTTTTCTCTATTATTACGCCCCCTCTCCTTTTTCCCCCCTCTCCTCGTGTCGATCCCCGAATTATCGAACGTGGTTTGCTCGCTTGTAACAATAGAAGAGGGAGAAATTACAGAGGAGCCATCGTGTTAGATCGATGAAAGGTCTCGTTCTTTTATCTCGAAGATTTCCCTCCTCGATGTTTGAATACTGAAAGAAGGACGCAAGGTAATTTGGAAATATTCGTTTATTTGGCTAATGATCAACGTCCAATTAGCCTCGTGCGTTTCATTTCATTGGTTTCTGGAAAGCTCGATATTTTCCACATTCAGGGATTCCGTTTCTCTGATACGTTATTCTCGTCTCGTTACTCTTTCTTACGAGGCGAACGATGTTTTATTCCCTTGGACGTCCCTTTCGAGTTAAAATCCAAGATAATTCGTTAGACGAGCGCGACGAATAAGAACACGTTTTCCGGTTCCACGGTTTAATCTGGATTATCGTAAGTTTTATCGACGCGAATCGTCGCGCCGCGTTCAAATAAAACTTTTCCACCACGGTATAAAAGTTGGAAGGCAGAGTCGCCCTCCTCCCAAGATTTAACTTCCGCGAATTATCGAGAGGGACGCGAGTTTTCGATGGACGGACCCGAAGCGGGCCGCGAGATAAGTTCACCGCCTTCCCTACTTGCTTTATTTCATCGCCTCTCGATGCTTGCAGTCGTTCCACGCCGAGCTCCACCAGTACAAGCATCAGATCGAGCAGTTCAATCAGCTCACGCAGAAGCTGATCGCCGTTTATCAGGAGGACGACACGACCCGCGTGAAAAAGATGACCGAGACCATCAATCAGAGATACAACAACCTCAACACCAGGTATTAGATTTTTTTTAGATTTTGCAACGCTTCTCGCTCTCTTTATTTATTTTCTTTCTTTTTTTTTTTTAAATAAACGAGTATAGAATTTATCATTGCAATATCGATTTGAACGATCCCGTTTGGAATAGAATTTGTTCGAATTTTTCTTTCCTATTCGTGACATTGGAATAGAAATCGTACAGAGACGTTTGAAATTAGAATCGGTGGCGAGCATGGCTGTATCTTGTTAAATCCTTCTTAGCATCATCAATCGAGGAAAATTGCTTCACTCCGCGATGAACTCCCTCCACAACTTCGACCGGTCCCTGGACAAGTTCTTGGCTTGGTTGAGCGAAGCTGAGTCCTCGATGGAGGGATTGGAAGCGGAGGCCGATCGTCTAGGCGGGCGACGAGACCAGGGTGCGCTCAGACGACCGCAACATCAGCTTAAGGTAAGTCCCATTTTTGCCTATGCAAGAATTCGCGAATTCTTCTCTTTCCGAGCTTCCATTTCTTGATATTCCTTGTTTCCTCTCGTTGATCGAAACGTCGAGCGTTTTAAGTGGAAACGAGTTGGAGGAAGAATTACGCGAAGATTCGAATCTTTATCCGTATAAAAATTTATTTATTTTTTTTTTTTTCAAGAAATAGCACAATTCTAGAAATGATTGCTCGACAATTTTATTTCTCAAATAAGGTTATATTACTACTTACTTTTTGTGACCCACGTTGGTTGGAAACGCACACAAGGAAGAAGGATACACAAATCAAACCAGGTTTCGAACGTAAATGGGTTGGACATGATTCGAGTCTGGTTAGGTCGTAACATTCCTCGAGATGGTGTAACGGTGGTGGTCAAGAAACCAGATCTGTATGGGTCGTGTGTTGACTTGAAAAGGTTTTACGGCTTCGATTGATTGCCATAAAAGTATGTCGGAGGTAGCAGGCCGGCTACCTACGTCTCGGTCTACCTATTAAAAGGAAGACGCCTCGATATCGGATATCGTAGTATCGGTCTATCGATTTCTGTGCGAAAGATTCCTCTGATTTTACGTTATGATCGCGCGAGTTAATATTTCGGGTAGAAAATAAAAAAAAAATCGCAAGAATTCGCAAATTTTTTAATCAAAAATCGTGTTTCAAAGAGCTTCTTGCGATCTTCTTTTTTTTTAATCGAAGGAAATTTATTTTTTATGCCGAGCTTGAGTATTTTAAGAAACACGTTGCGACCCGTCTGGCAACGAACTACTTTCGTTAAACAATTGGAAGTTTTTCGCGTAACTTTTAGCACGAGAAAACTTGAATTTTCTACACGCCAGTCTGGGATAGCGCGAAGCTAAACGAGTTCAAGTACGCGTCTCCAGTTTAAAAAACAAAGTTTTATCCAAATAACAGTTAACAGTTTCGAGTATTAACTAAAACTATCCTAAAAGTACATTTTCAGTTTTTAGTTTTTATCCAAATAACATTTCCAACGAAAAACAGCATATTGTATAACGAAAGTATAACGAAAGAACAATAGAGAATCTACTCGAAAAGAAAAGGTTGGTGTTGGTCGTGGTATTAAAACGATTAATCGATTGATAAATGGCCTATAAAATTCGGAGATCGTAAAATCTTGACACTCCAAAACTTCCTTTCCCAAAGATTTATTCTTCAACGAAATCATAACCAATCACTCTTAAATACTTTAACATGAATTTGAAACTTTAAAAGGTTCCTTTCCAAAACTTTTTCGATATCGATCTTTTTAATAGCGCGTTATCTTTCTCGATTCAATTGAAATTTCCTACCCGATAATTTTTCATTTTTCATTCGATACGTTGAAATATTTAAACGTATCCATTCAAATAAAATTATGGAACCTTACTACTACCAATTTAATATATCTCGTGTCGAAGATGACGTCGATGATTTTCCTCGAACGTTTCGAAATGTTGGATAAAGATGTATCGTTCAAGGGATGCAAAAAAAGACGCACTGTTTAAATAATAACAGGGGTGGGGGTGACGAGAAGTTTAACCAATCCGTTCGAGTAACGAGTGACGACGAGACGATCAAAACGAGGGCCTCTCCCCCTTTGAATACGTCTGTTTACAATTCCGCGGAACCGATGGACCGTTCGCCGGGTCAAATTGATATTGCAGTGTTACCGGCCACGGCCTATTGCACCATTTCGATGAAATTAATCCACGGCCTGCCTCCCACGTAACGAACAAACGGCACGCGATTCCGGGAAATTAGCTTATAATATTGTTTGTCCGCCCATACATTAGCCATTCTTCAACTCTGCTTTATTTGACGTCCTCTCCTCCCGCCTCGATCCATCATTATTGACTCGTTTCACCGGAGAAGAGTTCAATTTTGGACGGTTTTGGATTCGTCGCGTTATGGATTTATTGGGACAGGATTTTGCAATTTGGAGATATATATTTTTTCTTTTTTTCTTGTATTTTTACGGTCGTATACTCGATCGACAAGTTGCGTCATTAAAATTCAATTTTTGGCGAAATTGTACACACGCGGAGATAACGATTTACCTTTGACAGGGTGAAATCAATTTTTATAGTTTCGGTTTTTTAAATATAACTTTGTAATGACTTTGTGACGAGATAGAGCAAAATTTTAAATCACGAAATATTCGGGTTTTAATGTTTCGTTACCCCCGCAAACGAAAAATATACTCGAACAAAATTGTATAATTTGTTATCCCTTGCCTGCAGTAGGGATCTTTCATTAAAAATCAGAATTTTTTAAGCGTTGGATAAATTCTGCTTTTAGGAGAAACACTTTTGCGTGAGTGGTTTCAAGCATTTTTTACTTTTCATCGTAAAATTGTTGGAAGGATGTGATGAAAATTTCCGTCCTTTCGAAAAAGCTTTCATCTTAAAGCGTAAATGGCCTTTTATCGACGCGCCTCGATAATTTCCAATTTCTCCAATTTTCCATTTTCATTTAAAGTTATTATCGGCAAATGAACAGGGGCGTAAATTTTCAATGACGAAACAACCCCCATATCGTGGAACGCGTACGCGAAATGTAATTTCCATGCACCTCATCGTCGAACAGACGGCGGCATTGATTATTCGATAAACAGTTGGATAACTGATTGGAATCAATCACTAGATAAATCCCCCAGTATAGGGGACGAAAGGAAAATCGCCACTGCGGCTGTCCAACCACTTGTCCAATAATAGCGATCATTGAAAATCAATGTTATTTGCCTGTGTGTAACCTGATTATATCTAACGCGTTCCAACGCGTAATAACAATTATAGTTGGCTCTATTTCGATCACGCGTTCTCGCCTTTCTCTTATTCCATCTCTTTAGTCTCGTTTTCGAACGAGCCAAATCCTATTCCGATTTTCATCTCGATTCTTTTTTTAAAGCAAACATCAATTGGTTCATTTACCATTCGCTTTACATCTGTTTGTCCCTCCTTCTTTCGCGTGGCAATTTATCGAATTCATTTACGGCCGTGTTTAATGCCCCCTGAAAAACGTAATAACATTGCTTGTCGTTGGAATTGGAAAATAATATGCAGCGTTTTGTAATTAATCGGGATCCCTTCGTTAATTTCACCCGGCACGATATCCATTTACGTATCATTGAAATTGTCGCGAATATCAGACTTGTATAATTTTCTTTTTTGAACTATTTTAAAAATAGATATTTAAAAGATTTTATACAATTGTGGAAATAGCATAAAGTCTAAAAAAGAAAAAAACTTCAGCTGGTCCAATGAACCCACCAAAATAATTGCCCCTTTAACATGTGCATTAATGCATAATGCATTTTAGAATTTCGGAATTCCATTCCATTATTTTTCGCGTGATATAAATGAAACTGTTAAAACAGAAGAAGCTACGTTCGACGAGCCAAAATGACAATCGTTGTAAACTCGAGATTTTGTGCCCGCCAAGAGGACCAAACGTGCCTCTTCATCTTGTCGGATTTATGTACATATATATATACTTTGGACAATTAACAATGGACGGAACAATGTCGAACGTTGGAAGCACACATCGTGTTTGTTAACTTCGTTGATGCAGCGCAAAATGTTGCGGTTGAAACTGTATCCAGTTGTTACCGATGCCTCTGCCTCGATTGCAAACAGGAATTAATTTGGAACGCCGCTGCTAGAGCTTCTCGAGATGTACGTCCAGATGCGGCGTTGTGGTGGATCTAAAATCGACCGATGCGTCCATACTTCATCTTGATCAGCAAGGATCGATTATCTTACCGGATTAATGGCTTCCGATGAATCATGTTCCTCCTAATAAATTATGGAAAATTTTTCGTGGCAGGAAAGATATTTATGTTACAGTATTAGAGCGTGATTCAAGAATTTTTTATTTCATTCGAAAAGTCACGTTTGCGGTAGCAAAGTGAATTTGATTTCGGATATTTCGCATCCTCCAGATCCCATTAACGTCAAAGAATGATCGTCAAAGCATCACCACTTCAACACTTATTATTACAACGCAAAAGTGTACACTTGCCCCAATTCCAACGATTGCAAACCGGGAATAACGCCATTTAACGAGCGTTCGCCCTCTCTCTCGCCCCCTCTTCACCCTTGATGCAGGCGTAACAGGGCGTGGGCCACAAATTACATCCCGGTGGTGACTAATGCCACCTGGACAGCTGCTTCCACTCATTAAACTTGCGGTTGCCGCGTTATCGATTGCCCATTCGTAATAAAACGAAACTTCACCCTTTTGCTTCAACCTCTTCGCTTCGTTTCGTGTTATCCCCGCTTCCATCCCTCTAACGGTGTGTTTCTCGCCTCTTGAACAAGGTTGCCATAGTTTCGCCGATCGAAATGCCGAATTTCGCGGGCGAACCAAGGAGCAACGAACCAAAATATTCCTTGGATCGCATTCTTGCAACGACAAAAGGGTTGCGACGATGACCCCTCACCGCGAAGTTGACGGTTACCAACGACTCCAAGACACCTTACGGCTTAGACCGTAACTCGTGCATGCATAACGTCTTTCGAGAACGCATCCGTTGGAATTCCTAATATCCATCGTGCATCCTATGTGTGTGTGTGTGTGTGTGGATGAATCGCGATTTGTCGGGGTCGAGTTATGGCCGTCCGATATTGGATCGTGTCTAGAATTGGATCGAAATGGAAACGGGGTTTCATAGCTCTCCCCTTGGGAACGGCAGATAAATACACGGGCAAGGAAAGATTCTTTCTACGGTATTAATATTTATACCGATTCGCGGATCGAAGGATCGGGCATCCCTTCGGGCTACGATATTCGGGATCATGATTCGGGGAATTCGTTAGAGAGTTTCGACTTGAAGTCGAACGTTTCTCTCTTGCTCTCGTGGAAATGATGAACGTATGAGATAAATATGAGACGATAAAAATGGGTGGAGGGGAATAGGCGAGTGCGTGGAACGAAGAGATATTCCCTGAGAAGATTATATGCCTCAGTC